TCTTTGCTCATGGGAATGCAAAATGGTATGATCGCTCTGAAGACATTTTGGCAATTTGTTATAAAACTAAACATATCTTTAACCATGTGATTCAGCAATTTAATTCCTTGGTATTTATTTACCAGATGAGTTGAAAATTAGTGTCCACACAAAAACTTGACCATGGATACTTATGGCATCTTTATTTAATTGCCAAAACCTAGAAGTAATACCAAGATGTCCTTCTGTAAGTTAAAAAATAAATAAACCATGACACATCCAGGCAGTGGAATATTATTCAGTGCTAACGAGCAATAAACTGCCACACCATGAAAACACATGGAGAAACTTTAAATACCTACTACTAAGTAAAAAAAAAAGTCAATCTCAAAAGGCTACATACATACTATATGACTACAACTAAATGACATTGTGGGAAAGACAAGCTTTGGAGAGAATGAGAGATCAGTGGTTGCCAGGAGGTTAGGGAAGAGAGAAATAAATCCTCAGTGCACAGAGGCTGTTTTTTGGCTGTTAAAACTATCCTACATGTTACTATAATGATGGGCATATGTTAAAACCCATAGCACAGACAAAAATGAACCCTAATGAATCTGTGGATTTTGGGTGATAATGTGAGTTCATGGATTGTAACAAATATGCCATTCTCAATTTTGGTGTGAACTTAAAACTGCTCTAAAAGATAAATGATCTCTCTCTCTAAAAAGTAATTGAAGAAATAAGGGCAAAAGGAAAATAACAATGGGCAAATAATTTCAAAGCCTGGTGAAATGAATGGATAATTGCATTCCTTAAATTATCGTACACTTGTTTAGGGCCAGCAGGAGCCATAATGGTTACATCACTGGACTCATAATTGATCGTGGTTCGAGTCCCAGATCTGGTAACTGAAACTCATGCCAGGCATGTATGCGTGTGTGCCCAAGATCCTGAGAGGAGAATGGAGGAGAAGGGATTGCAGTGTGGCTATCCTCCCTGGGGGTGATTTCTTACTTCTTGTCTCCCTGTCTCTGTCTTTCTAGCAAGTGCACAAGCCCTATAGCAAAAACCTCTCTTAAAAAATTATTGCACACGTGTGAGAGGTGGAGTATATATTTTTACCTTCCGAGCAGTTTATGCAAGAGAAAAATTATAGTATCCATAAGTGAAAAACAATTTGGACAGTTAATCCTAAGCCTCAGGCTAGAGAAGAATTTCTTCTGCATTTCTTTGTGCCAGGGACGGGATAAAGTGATAAACAATGTCCTCAATAATATTCTCAAAACAATGAGTTTAATAGAATAGAAGACTTGGCCTTATAATACAGTTTTCACAAAGGGATTTTAGTCTGAGTGACCCCTAGGGTTGTTCTGGCCTGGCAGTGTGAATCTACATGAATAAGACCTTGGCAGGTCTCCTGAAAGAAATAGTCACTAGATATGCTGGCCTGGCTGCTACCCATCAGGAGAGAAGGGAATGTCCTTAATTCTCAGGTAGTGGATGGGATGACAGAAAGTATTGGCATCACCTGCCATTAATTAAATGCCAGGATGGTGTATGATTTTGGATCTAGCACTGTCAGTGTTGACCTCTTTCCAGAGGAACTTGTTTCAGTTTCTGGAAAAATACTGTACAAAGTTGAAAGAATGGAGAAGACTTAGAAAAAAAGAACCTTGGGAACCAGCAGTTAGCGTAATGGCTATGTCGCTGGACTCCCACATAGTTGACCGCGGTTCGTGTCCCGGACCCAGCGGCTTAAAACTCACGCCGGGCGCATGTGCGTGCGTGCCCAAGATCCCGAGAGGAGAATGGAGAAGGGATTGCAGCGTGACCATCCCCCCTGGGGGGTGATTTCTCGCTTTCTGTCTCTATGTCTCTCTCTGTCTGGCGAGCGCACGTGCTCTACAGTGAAAATCTCTCCAAAAAAAAAAGAACCTTGAAGCATACCTTTAAAAAAAAAAGTTGATTCATTTTCTTGAGCAACACAGTGAGCATGTGCACGTGTGCACCTCGTGACACCGACCAACGCTCTGCCCAGCCCTTGCTGGATTTTTCAGCCAGCCAGGATGATAGGAGTGCTCGATATGCTCAGATTGACCTGGAATCCAAACCTTGGCCTTCCAATGGCTTCCAGTATTGCAGAACAGCACCCTACCACTTGTGCCACCGTGGGTAGGCCTATTAAAGTAGGATTTGTGTATAGCGGGCTTTATGCATGCTAGTATACAGTGGGCTGACCTATGTAACTAGCACTCTAGTCAAGTTACAGAGCATTTCCATTTCCTGAGAAGAGTCCCTGATGTTTCTTATTTCAGTCAATCCATTCACCTACCTCCTTTCCCTGCCCTATACTCTAGGCAAATGCTGTTTGATTTATATCACTACAGATTAGTTTTGTCTGGATAGCATTTCATATAGATGGGATCATACAACATGAGTTCTTCTGTGTCTGGTTTCTTTCACTTTTCATAGTGTCTGTGAGGTTCACTGATATCATTGTATATATCAGTGGTGTCTTTTTGTTACTGACTACACTATTCCATTTTACAGAGACCACACTTTGTTCACTCACCTCTTGAACATTTCAATTGTTTATTTCCAGTGTTGGGATTCAGGTTGAGTATGCCTTATTGGAAATGCTTGGGTCAGAAATGTTTTGGATTTCAGATTTTTTTTTTAAAGGAAATATTTGCATATATATAATGAGATATCCTAGGGATGGGGCCCAAGTCTAAATATAAAATTCCTGTATGCTTCATATACACTTTATACACATAGTCCAAAGTTAATAATTTTATGTAATTTTTTTGTGTGTGTGTTGTAGTGTTTTGACTGTGACCTAACACCTGAAATCAGATGTGGAAATTTCCACCTTTGGCATTAGATTGGCACTGGAAAAAATGAATTGTGGAGCATTTAGGATTTTAGATGCTTGCATTAGGAATGCTCTACCTGTATTATGAGCAAAGCTTCTATGAACATCCATGTACAAGTCTTTGTGAGGTCATAGGTTGTCCCTTCTATTACAGTTGGTACTAGCAGGTAGTGTCATGTAAGTAACGGCTCATGCACAGTATCACTCCTGCCTGCTTTCCATTTGCCACTCTGGAGCTCCACTGAAGACAATGCAGCTTGTACTTCTTATTCCTATATGGTAACACACACCCTGGTGGTGCCTCCCCATTGTGGAGACTCCTCATTCTCTGTTTCAGGTGAGTCGGATGTTCTTCACTGAAGCTCCACTGGAGATGTCCATGCCTGTAAGTCCTCAAATTTGACATGAGGACCAGCCTTGTTCTAAAACAGTTTATTTTATTTTATTAATTAATTAATTAATTAATTATTTTATTTCCCAGTGAACAACATTGGGGGTTAGGTAGTGTTTACATTATGTAATAAACTCCACTTTTTCTCTTATAAAATCCAGTTACTTGCCTATATTTATCACAGTTTGCAATTACATACAGTTTTTTTGTGGTTTATTGATTAATGCATGTCTCTTTCACTAGACTGGCATTTTACTAACCACCATCTACCTAGCACTTGGGATAGAGTTTGACTTGAGCAGATACTCAAACATATTTGTTGAATGAATAACAGGGGTTTCAGCCATCACCATTGATTGGATATTGATAAGTGTGACTGGTAGATTTTCTATTATTGTATACTTTAGGCTTATATGGCTAACGGTATTGTTTCTACATGTAGTTGTAGTTGTTTCTACGTATAGTTTCTACAAGTAGTTCCCTGATTCTGTGAAAGGAGATTCAGATCACCTCTCTTTCTCTTAATGTATATTTTAAGTTAAGATCTTTAAAACACTCCTGGCTAGTGTTATACAGCTTCGTCTTGTGTGGATGGAGGTGTGAGATCCAGAAATTTTTTTAACTATTTCATTTTATTTATCATCATCATTATTTTGCAATTTGCTATAGAACACACATGCTTACCAGAGAGAGACAGAGAGAAAGAATGGGAAAGTGAGAAAGCAAGTCGCCAGGTTTGGGACTCAAATTGCGGTCAGCCATGTGGGAGTCCAGCTACTTAACCACCGTTATCACCTGATGTCCTCAGAATGGTTTAAGACATTAAGGCCTGACCATTTTGAGCATAATAACTTTATATTTCATTTGATATTTAGAATTATAGACTTGAGTTTGCCTCTCAGTTCTGCCACCAAGTTACAGTGTGATTTAGAGCAACTTACAAGCTCCTTGAGTCCCAGTTTCTAGTCTAATAATTCTTTTGATACTGACTGGAGTTGTTATGCCCCTTCAAGCCATCCCCAGGCCAAATGGTTTCTCTGACAAATCTTGTGGGTTTGTGTCATCAGAGTTTTCCATTCTCAGTGTGTGGGGTCCGAGGCTGAAAGTAGCCAACATGCAGGGTGTGGCCTGAATGATGCAGAGATGGACAGGGCCACTTCTTTATTCTGGGTGCAGCCTACCATTGAGATTGATAGTGGTATCAGCCTTTGTGGTGACCACATAGCTCTGCCAATTCAGATCTAGCTCCTCATCAACAAACACCCTTGCCTCCTCTCTTCATGTCAGCTGTTGTTATTATTCATTTTTAAATTTAACGTTCAATTCCCTTGCCATCTCGGTCAGTCTAGAGAGTCAAATTCTCTTGATTCTTTTTTGATTGCTGGTTTTGACCATCTTACTTCCTTTCGGTGAAATGAACTAACCTGCTAATCAGAATAAAAATAAGGCCCCAAACAACAAATTGTAAAATTCTCTCATTCTTTGCCTGTTCATTTTCCAAGGAGAATCCTCAGAGCTGGGTCATTTAGCAACATTCTTAACATTCCTGAATTCCTATGGCTTGCCAGGTTTTGTGTCCTATTCAATTGACAGAAGTGGGAGATTATACTGCAGTGTTATAGGAATCATGACAGAGGGAGTACTGAACTCAAATAGCAGAGAAGGGATCCCCAGTTCTGGAGAGTGGAGAAGCAAGTCAGCATTTCAGTGTCCAGGCTAGAGGGGTGTTGAGGCCTGATCCCCAGGGCATTAGTGTCAATTCTCCAAGTCCTTAGCATTCGGAGGTCTGTGCTCTTCCCAGCCTCCCCATGCCATCCAACTCTACATCCTGATGATTGCTTCATTCATTCAATGACTATGGAAGAGCAGCTAGGTGTGAGGTTGTCAAAGGGAACAAAAGAAACAAACTACCTGTCCTTGTGGAGATGCTATTTGTGTCTTTGGCCTGAACTGCTTGCTTTAGGTCATTTTATACCTTGCTTACTGACTGTGTCCAATATTGTTGGTTTTTGACCTCTTGATCATTTGCTTATTTATTGCTTCAGCTTAACCTTATAGCAAAGATCCAAGACTGCTTCTCTGAATTTTCCTCATTGATGTGACTCAGTCTTATTCTCTGGCTGCATGTATGGGCCTTTAAAAAAATATCCTTCTCAGCTTGATCAAAGCCCTGGGACATGGTACCTTCATGCATATGTTTCTGGGTGGTTCTAAGTGTCTAAGTGACAGACTACAATTTTTTTTTCTTTTGTCAGAGAGCATGCACACTCACCAGAGACAGAGACTCAGAAAGAAAGGGAGAAAGCACCCCCCCAATGGGGCATGGTCACATTGCAGTCCCTTCTCCACCATTATTCCATCTTATTTGGATCTTGGGCATACATGTACTTGAAAGCACTGTGCTTTCAAGTTGGTAGGGTCAGGATTTGAGTCATGGCCATGTGGGATCTGACTCCCTTAAGCACTAGCTCCACTGGTTTTTTTTTAGTTACACAAGCCAAAACTAGATAGTTGAGAAGATGAGTAAGTCTTATCAAGTGTGACTCTTGTTATCAGAGTGTGTCATGGTTGATACTAGAACATTGTCCAGGGGTGGAAATAAGGAGAATAAGTTGCACCTTACTGGGAAAAGGAGCTGAGAACCTAGTCAGAGGGTCTGAGATTTGGGGTAAGGATGTGAGCTCAAGAGAGAAACCAAGACAGCTGCTCCTCAAGTACCTGATGATAGTGATGGGAGAGAAATAATAGTAATAACGATAAGGCCTTAACTAGTTTTCTTTTTTTTTTTTTTTAATAATGGGCTGAACACCGTAGTAAACATTAAGAATATGCTAATTAATTTTTTGGCACTAACTAATTTAATCATTGTGGAAATATATCTCCATTTTAAAGGTACAGGGACTAAGGAACAGAAGTAACCTGAGGTCACCCAGTTAGGTTGGCCAAGACTTGGAGCTCATACGAGGTTCAGGCTCATCCTGGAGAAAGAGGTTTTGTTTCTAGAAATAAAAGCTGAAGTTGTTAAATTGCTCTTCTTACTATAGTCTGGAAAGATGGAGGACTTTGAGCCTTTAGCTAGGTAGAGCTCATTATTGGAGGATTACAAAGGTGGATCCTAATTGGAAACTGGAGCAAAGCATAGAAAAGATGTAGGGGGGAGTCTGAATACAAAGTTGCTGTGGTCAGTATTTCTCTCCATCTTTTCCAGGGTAGTTATTGCTGCAAGACTCTAGCATCTTTCATTGTCTTATCTATAGATTGGAATACCTAGAGATGACCTACATTCTCTTTAGCTTTGAAACATTTGCAACGATACTGTTCAGATTCCTTGACTGTCTAAACTTTGTAAAGATTGGAGGGTATAACAGCAGAGAGGGTAATTAGATATTAGAGACAGTATAGCAGAGGGTGGGTAATAGTACATGAGAGGGAGGTGATTAGGGAAAAAAATGTTTAACAGACACAAAACTGAAAAGTTACCTGTTGATGATAGTGTATAGAACATGCTATCTTTGACTTGATAATATGCACTGTATTCATGCTGGGAAAAACCATGTTGTACATTGTAAAGATATACGGTGATTACATGTAAATTAAAAAATAGATAAATAAAACATTAAAAAATAGAATAAGAATAGAAAATATAATTCATGTAAATACTGTGATCATTTAATTCAGAGATGCAGACATTGGGAAGGACACATATAGATTCAAGTGATATTTATAATCATAATGCCACTGTAGTGGCATTATTTGGTAAATTTCTGGTTTTAGTCTAGAACTTTTCCAGGCTTCGTGTAAGGCTGCAGTGTATCACAAGATGCCAAGAGCTCTGAAGATGAGCTAAGATCACTAGATGATAGTGCTCCTTTGTCTCCCCTAAAAATCTGCCTCATGCTTGTCCTGCTTGACTGTGATGATGCTGAGGGAGGATAATGGAAAAAATGTGTCATTGTGATGTGATGTGATGGGAGGAGGCTTTTAATTTCTGTAAACTTAATTCCATCTACTCCTTGAAATTTGGAAGGAGGCTCAATGTGACCTGCGACAAGGGCTTATGAGGGGATATCATGAAACCATTAAGAATTCGGTAAGGTCAGTTAGCTAGAGTAATCTTTGCTCTTCTCTTGGTCTCTTGGTTGTGCTGGAATCTCAGGGAGCTTTCACCTTAGAAGAAAGTGCTAGGGAAGACAGAAACTGAGCCAATACATTCTTCTCTTGTGACTGAATAGGGGGCCCATCTTGAGATGCTGTATCATCTCAAGCTTCCTGAAGAATAGAGGCCACACCTTGCATTTCGTGATATCTTCCATGGCTACTTGATGCCTCAAGAAGTATGTGCCAATTTTAATTGATGGCTATCCACATGAGGGTTAGATATGATTTCCTGTGGGATTTTATGGATTTCTCCGAGGCTGAGTACAAGTGGATGAGTAAAAGAAAACCCAATGCTCAGCCATAGAAAAGCTTTTACATATTTGTTTAATAAAAACTTTTTCCTTGGCTGGGTGCTGATTTATAAAATCAAGATCAAAAGGGGCTCTGAGAAGGCCAGCCCTATATATAGCCTAAGGGAGCCAGATTCCATATGGTTGACCATGGTTCAAATACTGGTCCTGGGCTTAGGAAGTACCCTGTATGTGTGTGTGTACCACAAATCCTGATAGGATGGAAAAATGGAGCACCAAGGATTATGATATGACCATACCCCATTGGAGAGTGCTTTCTTCCTTTTCCTGTGTATCTGTTTTTGATGAGCACATTAGCCCTCTGGCAATTAAAAAATAAAAAAGGATAGTGTGCTCTTAGTTATATTTTTCAAGCAACATTACTTATTTCTAGCCTTTTCTAGGCAAGTGAGATCCTTAAATCCCTCTAGCAGACAGTTCACACAGTCTGAGAAACTGGGCTGCTGGCCTGGAAAGACATCTGCAGTATTCCCCTTG